GCCCGCCCGCCCGCCCGCTCACGTGATAACATAATACGTCCCCGTCTTCGACGGGCGTATAAAAAGAACAAAGGGCGACAACATTGTTTGTTACACCTCAAGTGAATTTCTAGCTATTTGATTGGTTGGGAGAAAATTAAACAAAAATCTCTGTCACCCTCCTAAAATACATTGGTTTTAAGGGGCGCGGGTGATATTGCCATGAGACAGAGAAAATGTCACATGTGCGAAAAATGTGCGTTCCGGGTCCTTTACAGTGGCCATTTTTCACCGCTTTGTTTCCCCACCGTGATGGTCACAAGAACGTTTGACGGCAACAGCCAATTTTATCAAGCGCCGGTGCGATAGCGATTGCAAACAGCAGACTATCAACAAACAAGATGTCATTATCGAGATTTGCTGCCGTTTCTGAGCTACATATGGATGTGTAGAAGTGGGGTTTTTTAAGATAAATATTTATTTAAAGACTTTTGGTGTAACAAAATAGATATGACATTCATTAGCAGGGGACAGTGAATATTGTCAACCCTCAAAAACAATGGTTTTCTCGGGTTGTCAATATTCACTGTCACCTGCTAATGAATGTCATATTTATATAATGTAGTAGAGGATGAGATATCAGTATCAGACACCCATCATCCATACATGTACTCACATACAATATTTGTGATATCAGTATCAGGCACCCTATCATCCACACATGTACTCACATACAGTATTTGTGATATCAGTATCAGACACCCCATCATCCACACATGTAATTACATACAACAACTGTAGGCGACAGATTATGTGAGAGATATCATTGTGTTAGGCCACTTCACTTCCTAGGCCAACTCCTATATGTACGGAGTGCTGGTTCAGACAGACAGACAACTAGATAGAGGTTTTCTATACCATAATATGTTCTATCAAAATTTTCACAGCCTTATGATAACAGAGATGAGAAAAACACGGTGAGACACAATACCTTTTCCACTCCTAAAGAAAGTGCATTCTTGGAAGCTAGATTGGGCCCTTCCATTGTCCTGCCATCATCACGCGGTCCCCACGAGGCACTATATATATCTACCATTGAAACTTTATGTAACATTGCCTGGGCTTCTAAGGCGTCAGTGACCACACCATCCAATATTCGTATTCCTGAGAAAAAGTATAAGCATAACTTTTACAGAAATGTCTGTAACACATTTATAGCAAGGTAAACCCAGGATATCTCCAATAACATATTCATGGAAAAGACAATGTTGATCGTATAAAAGGTAATACATACCTCCAATTTTACAGTTATAGGCTATTCCCACAGAGCAGATACCGTTGTTAGCAGCTCCTGCGATCTCACCTGCACACCGCGTACCATGACTGAGGACAAATAGATTCAAACTAAAGAAGCCAAAGAACAGAAGGTGAAGAAGTTTGTGTTGCCTTACAGGTACCATATCTAAATCTATGAAGTACTAAGAGAAGGTATATTTAAAAGCTTAAATGTAGAATTAATCAGTTAAGTGTTATTGGGGGAAAATCTTTCAAAATACATTTGCTAAATGTTAAAATAAAGTTTGGTTAAAATGTTCCATTGACATAAAAACACTCATTTTGTTGTTTTTACTCTTTATCAGGTTTCAGAATCCTCAACTTAATCTGAATCTCTCAATCATAACAAATCACAGGAGTGAAATAGTGATCTGAGCTACAAATGTTACGTTTCAACTCTCTCAACACCAGCCTAGAAATAAACTGGACAAATGTAATAAATGCGAACCTAGAAATGCTGTATACTGGAAAAATTTCACCCTTCGCACACGAAATATATTTCACCCAGTTTTAACTTCGCCCTTAACATTTAATTATCATTATGTTGTTTACTTATCATATATATTATGTTGTTTACTTACCATATATATTATGTTGTTTACTACCATATATATTATGTTGTTTACTTATCATATATATTATGTTACTATGTATATTATTCGCTGTAATGATAAATTTGCCCTCATTACAGAGGGCGAAAAATTACCCGGTTTACAGTAAACAGGACAAATGTAACAAACACAAAACTAGAAATAAACATGATAAGTTAAAGAGTGGCATCTTATGAAATACGCCAATCTCATTTTCATCTGATTTGTATTAAGTACATTTATAATATTTTCATAATTCTAAAACAGCTAGTTTGCAAGAATGTTGAATTACGAGGGATCAGCATGGAAGTATCAGACTCAGTTGTAGTATTTGAACATGCTACAGATACCATTATATTTTCAATCAATACACAAGTGAACGTAAGTTGCAGTGCATTATTCATGCCCCTGATTAATTGTATTCAAAAAGAAAACTATATACAAATGAACCACAAATGAAGAAACCCTTAAGACATGCCAATCATGCGTTAGTCACACACTGGTCCCGTCAATGCTAGGCTGTAAAAAAGCCTGGGATCCAACCATCCACAAACAACAAACATGGTTGTCATAGTTACCTCAATGTCCAGTCTGGTAGGCATTTAAATCAAAACACAATACTGATCAGTCAATCATTAATAGTTGAGTACCATGGAAGGACATAAGTAATTCAGTAAACATTAAACGGTTCAATATTTAGTTTTAGAGATTTCCTTATATGTACATTTAAATAAATGTTGCAATCTAAATATCATCTCAAAAATAAAATATAATGGTGATTATATAATTCAAATGTTCTGATTTACTGAGAAAATCTGGAGTCAATTTGGTAGGTATATCAGAAGGGGTACATGGTCCCTAGGATTTGGGGTCACGAGGTGTCAGACCTAGCCCTGGTGGACTGGACTGTGCCACTCAATGCAGTGTAGCCCCTTACATAGTCCATCAGTACAGACTTAATTGTTTACATAATACAGTTATATACAAATATGACAGCTAAAATCATTTTTCTGTTTAGAACTCATAACAAACCTACCTGATTAGCTATCATTCAACATTACTTACCTATTATCAGGGTTGCTTACATCAGGTCTAGGGTCAGAATCTTTGTCATTCAAATCAGAACTTATCTCAGCATCCTGAACAAAAAGTATAATAGTATCACTCAAACTACAGAAAACATGAGTATAGAATTACAAGAAACATAGGATTGACCATTACAGTATCATACTTCATTACAATCCATGACAACAGCATCATAGGAAACACACAATCATGACAACAGTATCATAGAAAACATACAATCCATCATAACAGTAGCACAGCAAACATACAATCAATGACAACTGTATCATAGGAAACACACAATCCACCACAACAGTATCATAGAAAACACACAATCATTACAACAGTATCATAGGGAACGTACAATCCATCACAACAATATCATAACAAACATACAATCTATGACAACAGTATCAAAGGATACATACAATCCAGCAGAACAGTATCATAGCATACATACAATCCAGCAGAACAGTATCATAGGATAAATACAATCCATCACATAGGATACATACACTTCTTCAAAACAGTATCATAGCAACAGTATCATAGGACACATACAATCCATCAGAACAGTATCATAGGACACATACAATCCATCAGAACAGTATCATAGGAAACATCCAATCCATGACAACAATATCATAACAAACATACAACCCATCACAACAGTATTATAGCAAACATACAAACCATCACAACAGTATAATAGGAAACATACAATTCATCATAACAGTAGCATAGGAAACATACACTCCATCACAACAGTATGATAGGGTACATACAATCCATCACATAGGATACATACACTTCTTCAAAACAGTATCATAGCAACAGTATCATAGGGTACATACAATCCATCATAACAGTATCATAGGACACATACAATCCATCATAACAGTATCACAGGAAACACACAATCCATGACAACAGTGTATCATAGGAAACATCCAATCCATGACAACAGCATCATAGGAATCACACAATCATGACATCAGTATCATAGGAAACGTACAATCCATGACAACATTATCAAAGCAAACATACAATCAATAGTATCATAGCAAACATAAAATCCATCACAACAGTAGCACAGCAAACATACAATCCAATACATACAATCCTTCACAACAGTATCATAGCAGACATACAATCCATCATAACAGTAGCACAGGAAACTTACAATCCATGACAACAGCATCATAGGATACATAAAATCCATCACAACAGTTTCATAGGATTTATACACTCCATCACAACAGTAGGATACATACAATACATCACAACAGTAGCACAGGAAACTTACAATCCATCAGAACAGTATCATAGAAAACATACAATCCATCATAACAGTATCATAGGAAACGTACAATCCATGACAAAAATATCATAACAAACATACAACCCATCAGAACAGTATCATAGAAAACCCACCATCATGACAACAGTATTATAGCAAACATACAATTCATCATAACAGTAGCACAGGAAACTTACAATCCATGACAAAAATATCATAACAAACATACAACCCATCACAACAGTATGATAGGGTACATACAATCCATCAGAACTGTATAATAGCAAACATACAAACCATCACAACAGTATGATAGGGTACATACAATCCATCAGAACAGTAGCACAGGAAACATACAATACATATACAATCCATCACAAAAGTATCATAGGAAACGTACAATCCATGACAAAAATATCATAACAAACATACAATCCATAACAGTATCATAGGATACATAAAATCCATCACAACAGTTTCATAGGATTTATACACTCCATCACAACAGTATCATAGGAAACATACAATCCATGACAACAATATCATAACAAACATACAATCCATCACAACAGTATCATAGGAAACATACAATCCATCAGAACAGTAACATAGGATACATACAATCCATCACAATAGTATCATAGGATACATACAATACATCACAACAGTATCATACAATCCATCAGAACAGTATCATAGGAAACACACAATCCATCACAATAGTATCATAGGATACATACAATCTATAACAACAGTATCATAGGAAACATGCAATCCATCAGAACAGTATTATAGCAAACATACAATCCATGACAACAGTATCATAGGATAAATACAATCCATCACAACAGGATCATAGGATACATACAATACATCACAACAGTATCATACAATCCATCAGAACAGTATCATAAGATACATACAATCCATCACAACAGAATCACAGGAAACATACAATCCATGACAACAGTATCATAGAAAACACACAATCATGACAACAGTATCATAGAAAACACACAATCATGACAACAGTATCATAGGATAAATACAATCCATCACAACAGAATCACAGGAAACATACAATCCATCACAAAGTATCATAGGAAACATACAATACATCACAACAGTATCATAGTAAACATACAATCCATGACAACAGTATCATCGGATACATACAATCCATCAGAGCAGTATCATAGGATACATATAATCCATCACAACAGTATCAAAGCAAACATGCAATCCATCACAACAGTATCATAGTAAACATACAATCCATGACAACAGCATCAAAGCAAACATACAATCAATCACAACAGCAGCACAGGAAACATACAATCCATGACAACAGTACCACAGGATACATACAATCCAACACAACAGTATCACAGGAAACATAAAATCCATGACAACAGTATCACAGGAAACATAAAATCCATGACAACAGTATCATAGGATAAATACAATCCATCACAACAGCATCATAGGTTACATACAATCCATCAGAACAGTATCATAGGATACATACAATCCATCACAACAGTATCATAACAAACATACAATCCATGACAACAGTATCAAAGCAAACATACAATCCATCACAACAGTAGCACAGGAAACATACAATCCATCACAACAGTATCATAGCAAACATACAATCCATCAGAACAGCATCATAGGATACATACAATCCATCAGAACAGTATTATAGCAAACATACAATCCATCACAACAGTATCATAGGATACATACAATTCATCACAACAGTATCATAGGATACATACAATTTATCAGAACAGTAGCACAGGAAACATACAATCCATCACAACAGTATCATAGGATACATACAATCCATCAGAACAGTATCATAGGATACATACAATCCATCACAACAGTATCATAGAAAACATACAATCCATGACAACAGTATCATAGCAAACATAAAATCCATCACAACAGTAGCACAGGAAACATACAATCCATGACAACAGTATCATAGCAAACATACAATCAATGACAACAGTATCATAGCAAACATACAATCCATGACAACAGTATCATAGGAAACATACAATCAATGACAACAGTATCATAGGAAACATACAATCCATCACAACAGTATCATAGGATTTATACAATCCATCACAACAGTATCATAGCAAACATACAATACATCATAACAGTAGCACAGGAAACATACAATCCATCACAACAGTATCATAGCAAACATACAATCCATGACAACAGTATCACAGGATACATACAATCCATGACAACAGTATCACAGGATACATACAATCCATGACAACAGTATCATAGGAAACATACAATCAATGACAACAGTATCATAGGAAACATACAATCCATCATAACAGTAGCACAGGAAACATACAATACATCAGAACAGTAGCACAGGAAACATACAATACATCAGAACAGTAGCACAGGAAACATACAATACATCACAACAGTATCATAGGAAACATACAATCCATCATAACAGTAGCACAGGAAACATACAATACATCAGAACAGTAGCACAGGAAACATACAATACATCACAACAGTATCATAGGAAACATACAATCAATGACAACAGTATAATAGGAAACATACAATCCATCACAACAGTATCACAGGAACATACAATCCATGACAACAGTATCATAGCAAACATACAATCCATCAGAACAGTAGCACAGGAAACATACAATACATCAGAACAGTAGCACAGGAAACATACAATACATCAGAACAGTAGCACAGGAAACATACAATACATCACAACAGTATCATAGGAAACATACAATCCATCATAACAGTAGCACAGGAAACATACAATACATCAGAACAGTAGCACAGGAAACATACAATACATCACAACAGTATCATAGAAAACATACAATCCATCACAACAGTATCATAGGAAACATACAATACATCACAACAGTATCATAGGAAACATACAATCAATGACAACAGTATCATAGGAAACATACAATCCATCATAACAGTAGCACAGGAAACATACAATACATCAGAACAGTAGCACAGGAAACATACAATACATCAGCACAGTATCATAGAGAACAGTATCATAGGATACATACAATCCATCACAACAGTATCACAGGAAACATAAAATCCATGACAACAGTATCATAGCAAACATACAATCCATCACAACAGTATCACAGGAAACATACAATCCATCACAACAGTAGCACAGGAAACATACAATCCATCAGAACAGTAGCACAGGAAACATACAATACATCAGAACAGTAGCACAGGAAACATACAATACATCACAACAGTATCATAGGAAACATACAATCCATGACAACAGTATCATAGGATACATACAATCCATCAGAACAGTATCATAGCAAACATACAATCCATCAGAACAGTATCATAGCAAACATACAATCCATCACAACAGTATCACAGGAAACATACAATCCAACAGTATCATAGGATACATACAATTCATCACAACAGTATCATAGGATACATACAATTTATCAGAACAGTAGCACAGGAAACATACAATCCATCACAACAGTAGCACAGGAAACATACAATCCATCAGAACAGTAGCACAGGAAACATACAATGCATCACAACAGTATCATAGGAAACATACAATCCATCAGAACAGTATCATAGGAAACATGCAATCCATCACAACAGTATCATAGGAAACATACAATACATCACAACAGTATCATAGGAAACATACAATCCATCACAACTGTATCATAGCAAACATACAATCTATCATAACAGTATCACAGGATACATACAATCCATGACAACAGTATCACAGGATACATACAATCCATGACAACAGTATCATAGGAAACATACAATCCATGACAACAGTATCATAGGAAACATACAATCCATCACAACAGTATCATAGGAACCATACAATCCATCACAACAGTAACATAGGAAACATACAATCCACCACAACAGTATCATAGGAACCATACAATCCATCACAACAGGATCATAGGAAACATACAATCGATCACAACAGTATCATAGGAACCATACAATCCATCACAACAGTAACATAGGAAACATACAATCCACCACAACAGTATCATAGGAACCATACAATCCATCACAACAACATACAATACATCAGCACAGTATCATAGGAAACATCCAATCCATCCCAACAGTATCATAGGATACATACAATCCATCACAACAGTAACATAGGAAACATACAATCCACCACAACAGTATCATAGGAACCATACAATCCATCACAACAGTAACATAGGAAACATAAAATCCATCAGAACAGTATCATAGGATACATACTATCCATCACAACAGTATCACAGGAAACATACAATCCATCACACCAGTATCACAGGATACATATAATCCATGACAACAGTATCACAGGAAACATACAATCCATCACAACAGTATCATAGCAAACATACCATCCATCATAACAGTAGCACAGGAAACATACAATCCATCACAACAGCATCATAGGATACATACAATCCATCACAACAGTATCATAGGAAACATACAATCCATCACAACAGTATCATAGCAAACATACAATCCATCACAACAGTATCATAGGAAACATACAATCCATCACAACAGTATCATAGGAAACATACAATCCATCACAACAGTATCATAGCAAACATACAATTGGACATTTGTATAAGCCTACTTAGCTTGTATACAAAGACCATTACTCTTTAAAACTGTTTCTGTTGCTTCCTTCATTGGTCACTCCTGCAGGTGGGGGATCGGGTAAAGAATACACCTGCTGTTACCCACTGCATGTATCGTAGGGGGCAATTAATGTTGGAACCCTCTGCAGAATTCGGGATTGGCTTTGGTGTCCTCTTATTGGGGACACAAAAGCGACCAAAATAAATCTGCTGCACCCATTGCAATATTTGGGATCTTTATCTTTCTTTCTACTTCTAACTACTTTTTATTTCTTAGCACCTTGCCTGGCAACACCTCACTTTTGGCTTTAATATTGAGTGTTCGCCCAGGTGAGGAAGGCAATGGGTTCTGTCCCCAGGCCAGAACATACCCAAGTCCTTAATAATGGTAGTTGTTATTCCCTGTTTAACGTTTTACGGGAATGGCAACAACGGGTTCTCCCGTTGTCAGTATAATGTGACCGGGCGGAGTGGGGTGCTGGTGCCTTCAGCATGGTATTTCAGTGATATAGCACTATAAAGGAAGCAAGCACACCAACATACCCTGTCTCCTGCATACACACATGCAAGCACGCATACACTACACACATTGAGGCACATCCTTAGATGACCTTAGCTGTTAATAGGATGCTAAACAAAATTAAACCAAACAAAACAAAATCCTTCAGTTGTCATTATTGACATTTACACTCAAAGTACTTTTAACTAATTTCTAGTTTTTAATTATCAAGAAAAACAATGATAGTTCATAAACTTATAATTAAATTCTATGAAGATAGAATCACAACAGTTTGTGTACTTACATAGTTACCACGGAGATCAGGATGGCTGTGGTCCAGACCATCGTCCAGGACGACTACCCTGATATTGCGCCCTGTGAATTCTCCTTGCCACGCCTTGTTGACACGAAGATCTACACCACATTTACCTCCTGTCTGTCCTTCATTGCACTGGAAACATCAGAAAAAGTTGTTGACAAACACTAAAATATGAGAAATTATTCATCCAAATCACCCATACCCTGATATTTGTTTATTGTGATCTTGAAACCCCAGCAATAATATGACATGATACACATACAGGGAGTAAACCATTCAACACATTACAGATAGGAAAGTAAATTGCTCATCAATGTTTAATATTTAACAAATACTCACAATAAACCAGGAGTCACGGTAATATTTGTCGTTGAATTTCAATTTAAAGTTATCATGGCAGTCTGGATTAGGCATTCCTCGTGTGGAAAAGCTTCTCTCCTCAGCACGGTAAAACTCAGAAGGGTCAATGTTCCTAGTTGGAAACTCCACTTGTTTGTCATAAATTATCTCCCTTTTTACACGATCCAACACTTTGAGTTGTGAAACTTCTCTTACCTATATTCAGAAAAAAATGATGTTAATGACAAACAGAGATAATATACAAACACCATAGCAAAATATAACCTTGTGATTCATACCATAAAGTATAGTCTGATGTGATGTCTACCAGGGAGTAATGATGTCTACCATAAAGTTGATGTGTTGTCTATCGTAGAGTTCTGTTGTCTGTCATAAAAATGTGTTGTTTAATTGCATAAGTGTTGTCTACAAAAGAGGTGTATTTTTTTTTCAAAAGAGTTGTGTTGTCTACCATAGAATTGTGTTGTCTACTATTAAGTTGTGTTGTCTACCATTAAGTTGTGTTGTCTTGCATTAGGTTGTGTTGTCTACCATTAGGTGTGTTGTCTATTATTAAACTGTGTTTTCTATCATAGAGTTGTGTTGTCTACCATTAAGCTGTGTTTTCTATCATAGATTTGTGTTGTCTTACATTAGGTTGTGTTGTCTACCATTAAGTTGTATTGTCTACCATTAAGTTGTGTTGTCTACCATAGCATTGTGTTGTCTACCATTAAATTGTGTTGTCTGCCATAGAGTTGTGTTGTCTGTCATAAAAATGTGTTGTTTAATTACATAAGTGTTGTCTACAAAAGAGGTGTATTTTTTTTTCAAAAGAGTTGTGTTGTCTACCATAGAGCTGTGTTGTCTACCATAGAATTGTGTTGTCTACTATTAAGTTGTGTTGTCTACCATAGAGCTGTGTTGTCTGCCATAGAATTGTGTTGTCTACTATTAAATTGTGTTGTCTGCCATAGAGCTGTGTTGTCTTCCATAGAATTGTGTTGTCTACCATTAAGTTGTATTGTCTACCATTAAGTTGTATTGTCGACCATTAAGTTGTGTTGTCTACCTTAGCATTGTGTTGTCTACCATTAAGTTGTATTGTCTTCCATTAAGTTGTGTTGTCTACCATAGCATTGTGTTGTCTACCATTAAATTATGTTGTCTGCCATAGAGTTGTGTTGTCTACCATAGAGTTGTGTTGTCTACTATCAAGTTGTGTTTTCTACTATTAAGTTGTGTTGTCTACCATTAAGTTGTGTTGTCTTGCATTAGGTTGTGTTGTCTACCATTATGTTGTGTTGTCTATTATTAAGTTGTGTTTTCTACCATAGACTTGTGTTGTCTACCATTAAGCTGGGATTTCTACCATAGATTTGTGTTGTCTTACATTAGGTTGTGTTGTCTACCATTAAGTTGAGTTGTCTACCATAGAGTTGTGTTGTCTTACATTAGGTTGTGTTGTCTACCATTAAGTTGTATTGTCTACCTTTAAGTTGTGTTGTCTACCATAGCATTGTGTTGTCTACCATTAAATTTTGTTGTCTGCCATAGAGTTGTGTTGTCTACCATAGAGTTGTGTTGTCTTACATTAGGTTGTATTGTCTACTATTAAGTTGAGTTGTCTACCATTAGGTTGTGTTGTCTTGCATTAGGTTGTGTTGTCTACCGTTACGTTGTGTTGTCTACCATTAAGTTGAGTTGTCTACTACTAAGTTGAGTTGTCTACCATTAAGTTGTGTTGTCTATTATTAAGTTGTGTTGTCTACCATTAAGCTGTGTTTTCTACCATAGAGTTGTGTTGTCTTACATTAGGTTGTGTTGTCTACCATTAAGTTGTGTTGTCTACCATTAGGTTGTGTTGTCTATTATTAAGTTGTGTTGTCTACCATTAAGCTGTGTTTTCTACCATAGAGTTGTGTTGTCTACCATAGAGTTGTGTTGTCTTACATTAGGTTGTGTTGTCTACCATTAAGTTGAGTTGTCTACCATTAGGTTGTGTTGTCTACTTTTTATTTGTGTTGTCTACCATTAAGTTGAGTTGTCTACCATTAGGTTGTGTTGTCTACAATTAAGTTGTGTTGTCTACCATAGAGTTGTGTTGTCTACAATTAACTTATTTTGTTTACCATGCCATAGACTTTAGTAAAATAATAGCTGGCCACATCATGCTTATTCATGACTTCATATTTTTACTTTATTTATATCATAAATATCATACAGGACATATAAAACATTATGTTGTAAACATACCCGTGGATCATCCTTAAGTTTTGTGAGGTGAAGGTCAGCACTGCGTTTTGATCGAGTCGCAACTTCTGGATGTATCAATGAGTATATTCCAATTTCTTTAAGCTACATGGTATCAAAAAGAAAACTATTTTTGACACAGTGAAATTAAAGGTCATAGACATATGTGAAAGGAAAATGGTAAAATCAGAATGGTATGGCACATCAGTTGGTTTACAATATGTGACACGATGGTTAGGGGTTCTAATTCCAGAACACCTTTTTCTTATAATGATTAATCCATATCATATTTGGCTTTCCCTGCTTAATTCAATGATGTTTTTTCCCATAATAATATTTTATCTTTTCTGTATTGGCTCAGGCTATTTCTGTTGTTAACACTCGAAAAAATTACAAGTATTCAGGTGAGAATGCTGCTTCGTTATAACTCGAGAATATTACAAGTATTCAGGTGAGAATGCTGCTTCGTTATAACTCGAGAATATTACAAGTATTCAGGTGAGAATGCTGCTTCGTTATAACTCGAGAATATTACAAGTATTCAGGTGAGAATGCTGCTTCGTTATAACTCGAGAATATTACAAGTATTCAGGTGAGAATGCTGCTTCGTTATAACTCGAGAATATTACAAGTATTCAGGTGAGAATGCTGCTTCGTTATAACTCGAGAAAATTACAAGTATTCAGGTGAGAATGCTGCTAAGATGTGAAAACTGTTGTCAAATCCATTTGTATTGTGATATGCAATCAAACTAATTTAAACTGATATACCTTTACATGTAAATTTCTCCTAACATACATTGATGATTGACATAATTATATTGTTACCCCGGACCAATAACATACACCGATTTATTTTGTGTGTCCCTCTAACCTCCATCTTGGATTTGCTTGCTTACCTGGTGTTCCTGTTCCAGTTTGAAGCCGTGCTCCCTGGCCACGGCCTCAAGATCACGTTCGTCTACCTGTATGAGGAACTGATTGAGATGTTCTCCAGCTAGTGGTTGGTCCTCTGCGGTCAACGGGTGAGCGGTCAGCAGGCACAGGAACAGGCAGCTGACCACCACCCTGATCATCATCATTCTGTAACAATCACAAACATGACTTATATGTGACATACATGTTGAACTGGTATTCAGCAGAGGATATACATTTTGGACACGTGCATCTCAAATATGACAATGGACATGTAGTAGCACTAATAAGCATATGTGTTATGTTTCAGACATGTGAATATAAAACATACATCGAGGCAAAGAGTAGTGCCTCTATCAGAGTTCTTAGCAGTGATCGATAATCCAGCCTCTGTACATGTTTATACACTCGAAATACTAAATTTCATTAAAATAATTGTTTACCATTTCAATATATATTTTTTTGTTCTTCTTATAAATCCAGTCAGCGTCCAGGATGACGAGTTATCTGTTAGGGTTTCAACATGAAATATGGTTTCAGGTGACCAACAGTTAAAGGTAGAGGTGGACCTTCTCTACTGAACTTATACACAGATGACCATCGTTACATGACCAGGATAGACTACATATGTATGTGTATACCAATAATGTCCGTCACAACTGATGATAGGTAGATAACTTCTGAGTAAGTATTGCTTGCTCAGCCAAGCATGTCTGTATCACAGCCTTTTAGTGTTAACCAAGTGGAGCATACCCAGATATTTTACTTTAGGCCAAAACATACATCACACAGGTTTAAACATTACATTTACATTTCACAGATGTGTGTTTGTAAACAGATTTAATTTTTTCACACCTGGATAAAAAACACAGTCAGCTGAACACTTGTGACATTGTATATATATATATATAATAGCAATGTCATATCCAAACCATACTGTTATACCATATAATAATATACCGGTAGCATTGTCATATCTAAACAACACCTGCAAGTATATACCATATATATATACCAGGTATAATAGCAATGTCATATCCAAACCATACTTGTGAAAATATATATGTATTGCTTACCTTTAAGCAATCATGGCAATATATTCTCATTAAAAGTAGTATGGCAAAAAAGATTCCAGGGACAGGGCCAGTCCCCAGAACCAATCCTGGTAGCATACCGGGGTATATGTACACCAAAATCTTCATCCTCTATTATCACAGGGTAGAAATCTCAAATATCCCATGATATGACCAAGAGACTAAGTCCCTAAAGGTGAGAGCAGACCCTAAGGCCAATTCTGGTAGCATGATATTGTTATCATCTTTTTATGCCGAGCAATTGTATATATGATTATAATTATTGGATGGGAATCTCAACAGTTTCAAAGCTTTAACCCAGTCTCTATGGGTGGTGCCATCCCCGAAGCCATCCTGGCAGCATATGTGTATTCGTCTCTCGATGATTATAGGGAGGGGATCTCAACTGTTTCCAAGTTGTGACCCAGAAACAAAGTCCCTAAGTGACCCTCTATTTGTACACATTCGAATCCTCTTTACTTAGGGACACTTCCAGTCAAATTTGGTAAAATTCCAGTCAACAGTTTGAGAATCAGAAGAAGTTATTGGAAGAAATAGTTGACAGGTGGATGACGGATGCCACAGTATTGCATTAGCTCACCTAAATTTATCCTCCTCCTTTCTTCTATCTCTCAATCTTTTCTTTCTTAAAAACAGTACATATCATAATTATATGCAGCTACAATATTAACTACATAAAACATAAAATAAAAATTATGTATCTTTAATATAGTGTTAGAATTTTTGCTGATGACTAGAAATGGAATGAGTGTGTGTATGTTGTATGGAAAAATGAATTGTAAATGTATTATGTACTGTTAAAAAATCTTCAAAAATAAAAGAAATTTAAAAAAAAAAAAAAAACATTATCCTCCGAAATTTTTTAAGATATACTTGACTATCAAATATACTTCCATGTAAAATCCACCTACAGAAGGGGAAGATGTTTAGTGTTACCAGCACCTGGCCTGATAGCTTGTCAATGTACTATTTAGTAGGTCTCATATATATTACCTGTACATAAACATACAGGATTACCTACATATCAGGTAACTGAACTAAAACATTGATGGTCTTTCACCTTTTAATGAAGGGAAATTAAATATTTTTATCATGATTTTATCTAGCCATATAGATCAATAAGTCATATGTATATGCCTCAAAGTTATACTGATTTTTTCATTATTAAGTGATGTCATTCAGACTCTTAGTATTAGAAATACTGTACGTACATTACAATTATAAACTACATAACAGATCAATAGATATACATTTATGAAGCAGAATTCGGTAGATTTTTGAACAACGCATAATAATTATATAACTATAAGATGATACAATTATGCATTCTATTATGTAATTTCCGATTTTTCCTGTTTTGACGATGATTTTTTGCAATTTACACAAAAACTGACTGGTCCCCAAAATACCCTGATAAATGGGTGGTGTGATAAGAGCTGTGTAAGAACTCTGGATTACATAGTGTCATACATACGATAATTGATTACATAAATCAATTAACTTCAACAACAAAACAGGAATTACTTATGGAACATTTGGTGAAAACTGTACCTAAATACAGGTCCAGTGATTTATAAATGACTTTTGACAGGATTATGAGTCATGTACTTTTCCTTTTAATATCAATATATACTGTAAAATTTTGATGATTAATCACCAAAGTGTCATTTTAAAATCATGTAACATTTCTAACAATTTTCAAACTAAAGGGGGAAAAGTCAGAGAGGATGGGTCAGGATTTGTTAGAAAATATTAGCATTAAATGTGAGAAGAAAGTACATCAGCTTCACATATCTATAATCATGTTAGGAGAAAATATCTATTACACATTACATAGTTTGACATTAGAACAAAGGTGAACATTTCCCCAATGAGAAGAATTAAAGAAATAACTTAACTGTTTTACATATTTGAAGCTACATTGATCAAGACACACAATTTATTTGAATTGTATTGCAATGATTGTTATAAATCATTGTCACAGGCATATATTGATCATTCCATTCTATAGGATAAGAAAACAACATTGTAATAATTTGGTTGAAACATATTTGAGATTTATATATTTCAAAAAGTTGCAATGAAGTGTTGTTATTCAAAAACAAACCATCACACCAAAGGAATGGGACGATAGACCATAGTGTGGTCTTCCTCTAGAAATTTAGTAGACCGTCTTCAGAGGAGACCTATGGAAGATCTCTTGTCAATGCCTTGATAATAGGTTGGTTATCATTTGAGTTAGTTAACCAGAAAAATTATGGGTGCTGCCTACCTTTATACAGCAACGTTTACAAAATAAAAAAACTTTCAAAAACTTTGAAAGATGTTATTGAGCTGAAAGAAATTAAATCGAGGATGACATTGACTAAGCAGATTACATTCTACTAATTCATTATTCACAGATTTTGCTCATCAAACTTATCCTAGACATTTTTTTGTTCTAGATGCTAGAGTCTATATATATTTTCCGTGCAAACATTCATTTGAGCAAAATTTCCAAAGCGAGTCTAAAGCAAAAGTGGAAGCTTTCAGTAAAGCCATCATCATCTGTGTGATCCGTGATCATTACACGCCATAAAAGACATTGAAAATGGATATTTTTAAATTTATTTGATTACCATCACGTTTCAAGTTAGCAACTTTATTTATAAGTTTATTTTGTATTCTGTTGTCCTGATAGTAAAATGTAACGTAGCTAGACCTTTCACTGGCGATGTGATGAGTAAGTTACTGAGCTAAATTGAAGTTGTCATTTTAAATTCTTGATGGTACAATACCCCTGATTTTAACCTAATTAAATGGTCCTATCTGAGATTCTCCACTTGCTTCAAATTTGCCGATATGTAAATAAGGTCTATATCAAGAAGATTCTAAGGAAGTGAGATTTCTCAATAGAATCACAAATAAAAAGAGATCAAATTCAACAAAACTTAACTTATTTGAACCCCTTCCTCATCATTATAAAAGATTTTATGTAGAAAATATTGGTAGGAAGAGGTTCTGGAAATAGAGATGCAACAAATGCATCTATCATGTTACTCTCACATTTTCAACTCAGGTTGTCATCTTTTTTTTTAAGAAAAACATTAGAAATCTACCTTTGTATTTGACCTCCTTAACGTTTAGTTGACCATGGTATTTAAATACCTGGGCTTTGAATTAGGAATGTAAAAATTAAATGTACATAATTAATTCGACATTTTATGCAATGTCTTGTATCACTAAATATTAGCTGTCAAAACCAGTACTGTACATGAACTTGTAGGCTCACAAACACTAGCCAGTATAAGTAATTAGTTTCCCTTTGTTCAGTTTGGACTGTCTTTGATGTTGTGTCAGATATTAAAGAATAATAATTATAACTCTTTATGTTAAATATGAAAGTTATGCACTTCATGTCTTAATCTTACAAAGTCAGTATGTTCTAGTAGATCCATGTTCTATTCTAGCTTAAATATCTAGCTATAACTGTCAAGTAAGGAGTGATACATGTAAACAATAACCGAAATCTAAACATGTACTACGATAAGAACAACTATTATAAGTATCTATAATTATTTATGACTTAACTTTGCCAATGACTGGTAAAAATACCTTATTTCTAAGCGGATAATAGCAGTATGTTGGAGTTCCAGAATGATTGAGCTTATTTTCTAAGCGCTAAAATAGAAAATAAAGACACATGATCCTAACATAATGACCTAAGTAACTTATTTACCATAATCAGAACAGTTCCACATTCATGTAAATATTGCTAACTTATCGTTCCTCCATATTTGCTACAAGAAAAAAAGTCCTTATTTGCCTAGCGTGAGCACAGAATTGCATGAAGGAGTTTAAGAAAGTTATATATATATTATATTGTACAAAAATGAAAAGGTTAACAGACGAATGGTGGCTATTCCATTGTCTATCCCATGAACATTTTTGACAGGCTTTTAAAAATGTAAATAATGATTTTATTATAACAGTTAATAAATAGGGCTATCCTTTTATTTTGCCAAAAATATGCAGAACATTTTTTGGTAGTTAAATAATTTAATTTAATAGGGTTAAATAACTTAGAAATACAAATAATACCATAACGGTACCAAAACAGGATTTTTAAATTTTATTGTGGAATTTTAAGCACATTATTCTTCTTGTTATTTTTCACTGAAATACACCACAATATTCTGGTTTAAATCTTGTAGAAACATCCCATCTCGATCATCTGTCATCAGTATACTAGATTTAATTATCTATTACTTTTTGTTTAAATATTTCATCCTGTTTTATGTATACCTACATATACAGTGCCATTTAGTACCATATGGTTGATTTTTGCCATTAAATAAAAAATTAAGTAAACTTACAACAATTGCAATGATAAACTTTATTTATCATTTTATCAAAATTATGTTAGAAACTATATTTACCTGTCCTTCAGTTTTAGTTAATGCTTGATCCACCAGTAACTACGTAATCGTGTGATGTAACAGGTCCTGTCCTAAATCTCTTTTACACGTTGCTCATCTGTGGTGTGCTAAGACGGGTATTCTACTACAGTGAGGCGTCTCAATATCCAATCATACAGACTGTATTATCATACAGACTGTATTATCATACAGACTGTATTATCTGACAAACCAATAGCAAGGCCTCAACTATTGATCAAAGTATACCTATATATCAAAAGGTAAGGGACAGGTAAACATATCCACTGAGTACAGGATTATCTGGAAAATAATTAAGTTTCTAACTTGGTAAAGAAACATTGTCATTTACGTCAGTGCTTGGTATATATAGACACCTGTCCACAGCTGAGCGGCCACACTGATACACCCGGATATATTTATACAGCACCTGGTTAGCTTAACGGTTTAGTACATCGAACACATCTTCCTTGGTTTTACCCCAAAATATGAAACAATTTTCAGTTCAGTTTTTTATTAAATATCAGCTATGAGCAAGGCAGGCCTGAATATCACACTTAAAATAATTTATACGTTACATACAAACAGTGAATGATTTGTAAACAAGTCGGAGCAACACAAGCTCTGGGTGTACTACTGTTATCAGCCGTGCCAGGCCTGTTTTTACTCCCACACCATGACCACGTCACAGATCAGTCCTAACTCTCTACTCCTATACACGTGATTGTTCTCCCTGAAAGCTTTTAAATTCAAACACTCATGATCAGTGGTCACGATATTCTAACCCTGTACAAAGATTACGATGAACCTCTAGGTCATCATTTTACTTTACCTTGAAGTGATCATTCTGACAAAAGAAACTTTCACTTATTGTTGGTGTAAAGAATCAATGAAATTGGTTTACAACACAAGAAGCCTTTGTCCTTCCCACCTTCTACCTCCAACAAACTGGTAAACCGTGACACTTTCCTATGTATATAGACATCATTAAGTTAAAATATCATAGCTTATATTACATGTACATATATATTACACACGAACAGGGTTACTAAATAAAACATATACATACACACAATTTGTTGAATGAATAAGATGCCTAAGATGCCTCTTGTTTCATTTTCACCTTGCTTATAAATGGCTATTTTTTTCCAACAGAAAAACAGCATAACATTTGCAGTAGACTATTGATCACAATCACATCTGAAGGTTTAGAATCTGAGGTTCCAGAAATCATGCTCAGGCAAATAACGGTTTTCCTAACTCACAATTTAGCAAACAACTTTTATTACAATTAATACAATTAATCAGCAAGTACATTAAGCACTGATTACAAATGCAAATGTTTTTTATGGAAGATTTTAGCAAGTACAATGTATGCTTACACTGATGTACTTAACACAAGTCGGAGGGGATTGCTAATGTATGCTTACACTGATGTACTTTACACAAGTAGGAGGGGATTGCTAATTCAGGATCATTGCAGCTCAAACAGTCATTTTAAATTTGTTTGGGACATCTTATAAATGAATTAAATAAGATGTTTCATGTTGATTCATTTAGCATAATATCATATTGCTTACACATTTTCTTTTTTAAAGAAAAAACAGAAATCTAAACGTCGCAGCTTTTGAAATATGTATTTATTTAAATGTTATTTATTTCAGAGCTGACTGTCAAAGGATTGTAAAATCCTACTATTTGTCAGAATAAATCCATGTATCTATGTACAGCATTATACAACTTGGAATCAATTTTACAGATATCTCTAAATACCAGACTTATAATATAACAAGGCATCATATATAGTTGATATGAATAACCTTGCACTTCTTAGTCATAACAAATGTGAAGTTCTTGACTGCAGTAGGTCGAAATGTGAATTCGCACAAGAGGTGATGTAAGTGAGCACTAGTGTGAAGTTTCATGGTGATTGGAAAAGAAATAAAAACTGTAGAACGGTGATTGGAAAATTCTACCTAATTATATTGGTAGTAATTATAACAGTGACCTATGTTTTGACTGCAGAAGGTCAAAACACAAGCTTGAACAAGAGGTGACTTTTGAGAACTTGTGTGTGAAAGCGACGATGTTCAATACGTACATATTGTTTGTGTATAAAGTAAAGCTGACATTACATGTACGTAAAGTTTTGTGACAATCAGATAAGAAGTCTTTAGAGAGGTGAGGCTGTTTGGGACACGCATGCACTTACATACGGCCAGATCCCTATAAACCTTCAATTAGGGTATAATTAACTTGAACATCTCTCTATATCAGTAAACTTTAACATGATCTCTGATCTCCAATATTGCAAAATATAATTAGAATCAACAAATATTACATTATACACTCAACTTTACATAATATCTACACATATCATATCAACTTCAATATTATCACCAACCTTTAAATATTAAATTTACAGTGACAATTAATTGTATGAGATCTGCACTGGTATTACATTATATAACAATTTTGACTGAAATAACAATGGTTACTTTATTTTGTAAATATTTTGTCTTGTTATTTCTTTGGCCTCATTCAGAACACACCTATTAAACTTACTATACGATTACAATAGAACAATAGTTGAATTCAACATTGCATGTCGTCTATATATTGGTCGCCACTTCCTGGTTGGACAGCTTAGCCTTACACCTCTTACAGACTGACTGAATTGGTACGTGTATTTGCTTCAGAAATTCATCAAACAACAGCTCTGTCGAGCGTAATTGCAGACTGTTTCTATTGTATTGATGCAAATGAAGTATTGATGTAAATTCAAATTTTGATTATCAATAATTATAAACTACCAACATTTATTCATTGTTTGGTCATGAAGTATATTAAATTCTTGATATTCATAAGTTTACCATTTAAAGAATGTTCATTAATATGTCTTTGACAGGGTCAGAGACAATGTGTATGTGTTTGACAGGGTCAGAGGTCATGTTTATGTTTTTGACAGGGTCAGAGGTGGTCATGTGTATGTGTTTGACAGGGTCAGAGGTGGTCATGTGTATGTGTTTGACAGGGTCAGAGGTAATATGTACGTGTTTGACAAGGTCAGAGGTAATGTGTATGTGTTTGACAGGGCCAGAAGTTATATATGTGTATGTGTTTGACGGTGTCAGAGGTAATGTGTATGTGTTTGACAGGGTCAGAGGTCATGTGTATGTGTTTGACAGGGTCAGAGGTCATGTGTATGTTTGCCAGGGTCAGAGGTAATGTTTACACTATTAAGTGGCTTTTATCTTATAATTACCATATAACAGTATATTTCCACAGGGTACCGACACCTTTTTTACACCTCGGTACCCTCAATTTTTATAATGTGTAAAAACACTGGACCAAAATTATATAAGACAAGTGTTGCTATTATTTACTGATGTGTTTATATACGACTACTTGTATTGTTAATTGAAATTATTACAATTTATTTCATATTATATATTATTCAAAATCTCGAAACTGAGCCCCTGGTAGTGTGCCTGGGATGTGCTTACTTAAGTTTAGCAATGTCAAGTGTGGCCAGTAACTGATATTTTATTAACTTAGGAAATAAATCCCAGATATGCATGTATAGATTTTCATTTCATGTCTTTTAATTGCAGAGCTAGGAACTTTGTTTTGCAAGTATATATGATATTAAATTTAAGTCACATTCTTGCTTCAATCATAAGTTCAAATTATTTCAATCCCATATGATAGTAAACAAAAAAGTTAAGTTTAGCGTTATTTACATAAATCATATTTTTAGTTGAGAGTTAATTTCAATCCAATTGAAAATGCTCAGCTAAAATGTTTGTATTGATTGAGAAACTTTAGTAAATAAACAGCACAAGGTGGCTCGACTGCTCCAGTTTTGTGTTGTTTAGACACTAATTACTTTGCTGTTGTTGTATTTAAAACTCATTTGCTCTATGATGTGATCGTTTTAAACAGTTAAATATTCGACAGATAAATAGCTGCAAAAAGGTGAGTAAATAATCTGTGAACCTTACCTGTTTCGTCGTTTGACAACTTTCAGTACCTGTATGTTCGGGCAGGTACCCGTTTCTCAATTTTGTATCACACTATATGAAATCGTAGAGATATTCCGAACGAAAAAGTTTTTGTCACATTGTCATCATGTGACCTTCACAAAATGGTGGATAAAGGCATCAGAAAATACCGGTGTTGTTAGGAATTGTTGTAGAAGACTTGGTATTATTAGAGTGATCAAGAGGATGTCATCCACTTCTGTCCACGCCAAAACAAAGACAGGGTTTATCAACGTAAGCTTGATACCGCTATACCACGTACTTGCGAGAGTTTTGTTATAAAATGATGCATTGCAGCCACATGCATACAATATATGATTTACCTTGATCCGGATGACCGGGAAATGAGCTTAAAGCTCGTATTGGCCCAATCTTTTACATCAATTCTTTAATGTTTTCATTGTTCATGTAGTCGTTATAGGGTTTCATCTTCTTGACAATTCTTCAAAATTAAAGTTGTAATGCCATACCTGGTTAAAAGAATTGGAACAACACTTTTTTATGCATCATTTCAATGGTTAAAAATATGTACACAGATTAAAGAATTAGTAAACAGCAGCTGTAGTCCGAATTATTCTGACGTTTTATCGACTTTTTTTTTTACCAATGTAAAAAATAACGATAAAACGTCGGAATAATTCGGACTTCAGCAGCTGCATGCATGGTGCATGCTTACTGGGTTAGCTATGGCTATCTGGTCGCCTACGATGGACCCATGCAGTCCAGTTCCGCTACATCTGTATCGGTCTGTAAGGATTTTGACTTGAGTGAGTGCAGACTATGGAAGAGTGAACCAGCTATGATCCCGATATCAGATGGGACAGAAACTAGTTGACGATTGATTTTGTAGAAAACCACTAATCTGAAATATGTCCTACAAATCTGAAGTTTGCCAATGTAGGGATTTCATCATGTCTGTTCGACACACAAATCTATAGCTGCTCTTCTCGGTGGATCTTTAGCAGTTGCTGGAAATGGTTTATTGATGTGGATCCCACACAGTGCAACTGCATTCCATGTTTGGGCGTACTAGAGTCTTNGGGGGGGGGGGGGGGGGGGGGGGGGTCAGAATTTATTTTCATGTTTCGGCTTAAAAGTCCAAGGGACTGGTTTTGCTCTATAAGAGATAAAGAATGTATGTGTTATATCCCATTTGAGATTTGATTGAACATGCAGTTACTCCAAGGTATTTTGCTGGGTCGGTTTTTTGAAGATTATGAAGACAGAGTGTGTTATATTTGAGATACTGAGTGAGTGTGGTTTCAATCATAGGGGCATGTTTCGATCAATATAGATAATGCTATTACAAACAGTTTTACTTATTGTTTTTTTTATTGATCGGAACAAGTTCCTGTGGTTTCAACCAGAATCACCACCCGGGTTCAAATTTCAGTCCATAAAAAAGTTTCTATCTGGCAAGGCATGAAAATACAATCGGATGTCATGGTGTCCGTCTGGTGTTATTAGTACTATCAGTAGTGCAAGACGCTAAAATATGATCTGATGTCATTGTGTCCGTCTGGTGTTATTAGTACTATCAGTAGTGCAAGACGCTAAAATATGATCTGATGTCAAAACCAACAACTAAACAAGGTAGAGTAGGATATTTATTTTGGGGTATTGTCTCATCATAGATTTTGGTGAGTTATATGTTTCAGCATAACGTTTTTATTGGTAAGCTGCATGATATCTCATGATAGCATGACCTGCGACCCAACACAAGGTTAATTTTAGACCTTTGTGTGTCATATGGAAAATCTCAAAAAATTACTGAAAGTTTGCCATGAAACATGAGAATTTATAACACATTAAAACACACATGTAAATTTGCAGTTTTGCTCAATACACTTTTTATCTTTTCATAAGTAAATTGTAAATATGTTAATCTCAGTGACAGTCTTCGGTAATTTCAACAGTTTTCTGTCAATATGAGCAAAAAATCATGTTTATTCTTAAGGACTATGAAACCGATAACATGAGGTGTACTTTTAGGAATGACAGATGGATACTGTGTTTTAAGGTCACTGTGATAGTATGATATGAAGATCAGCTATGCCCATCGTATGTAATACATTGTCTTGAGGTCAAAGGTTACCGTTACAAGCAGGAAGGGGTCAAAGACCACCAACAATTATTATAGGTAAAATATCTTACTTCTTCACAAGTTCAATAAAGCCTGTATGGTTATGATATTTTACCAGTAGCTTGCTCAAAAATGTCCTCAAATCAATGACCTTGACACATTTAAGGTCACCAGGGTCAAATAAATGTTAAATGTCAGCATAGGCTATTATAAATTAAAAGCTTTTAAAATCTTCTCAAATTCCAGAAAGCCTAGGGTCATGTTATTTGAACAATAGTATTGACTGGGTTGAAGGATTGAATTACTTTGAAGTACATTGAAGGCCACATGGGGCTAATATGTTATAAACTTCAAATGGTGTTGTCTAAAAATCCTTTAATAGGTCCACAGCCATGGTTCTTAAGTTATGAAGGTGAGCCATGCACATATTTTTCTTATACATGTATGCTTTGTCAAGGTCAAAGGTCAATTTTGTGAGCTCTTTGGGGGCAAGTTCAACTAGGCTTTTAGTGATGAGAAGTTTTAAAAATCTTCTCCCCAATGTCCAGAAAACTAGCAGACTTGCCAGCAGTAACCTGTTGTAAATATATACAATAAAGTTACTTCAAATAAATTATTTTTTTTATCTACTTTCAAGGTTAAAGGAGTAAAAAAAATATAAAACTGAAAACATCTTCTGATGGCTTATTAAGTAAATAATAATTGAATGAAACAGGATCCATAGACCTGTTTTATATCACCAGGGGAAGAATTATGACCAAAGTCGCCCATCATACACTGAGGAGGCTGTGAGTTATATAGCTGACCTTGTAACTGGTGGGAAGATACCCGGACCTAGCACAGGTAAAATGTTTTTCATGCATAACCCGGCCCTTGTAGAAGTAAAATGTTTATCTTTCTTGGTCATAGGAGTCAAGGGTGTAAAGTTTAGCCTGTAACTTGCTGGGATAAAGACTATCATGTCTATTAAAACAAATAACCTTGGCCTAATTCTAAAGAATAAATAAGTAAATAAGTCAAAATCATTAGCAAAGATCCATTGAGTGAAGATTAATGGTACATTTTACACTTTGTAATGTTGGTTTACTTATATAATTACTTCAGGTTTGTTTTAACATATTTGACCTTGAACCAAACAAAAGGACATACATGTGAGATTTTGCCAACAACATTGAATTATAGCTAAGCTATACAGGTCCATTTGACCTCTTGTATGCTATGTCACTTTGATACTCTGTGGAACAGGGCTTTCTGTTGGATATGATGGTTAACACAATAATCATTGTGACCTCATAATTTTTGTTCAGTGAGAATAATACACATGATATCAGTTAGTGAAGATCTTGGGTATGAAAGTCAGATAAATAATGCCAATGGATGAAAACTTCATGTTTCAGGAAATGTGTCATATGATATTGTTGAGCTTGGAGCTGGAACAGGAAAATTCACACAAAAAGTCATGTCCAAGTTGACACAGGTAACATGCCTCTTTATACAACAATGATTGATAATTTTAATGTATAATTAGAAATCTTGATTTGGAAAATAAAAATCACCAATCTTCGCAAAATTAAAATTTGTCTGTAGATATGTTAAACACTTGGTATAAAGTTATATTTTATGACCTAATGAAGGGGTATATGATTCAAAATATTTTTGTTGATAAATACATTTACCCTGTATATATATATGTAACCAGCCAATGGACCCTGCAACATTCTTCAATTCCTTAAAAGGAGTCTTCTAATAAGTGTTTATAATTGTTTTTTTCTGAAAAGCTATTTTTCAGTTGGTTCTTTCATCTCATGAGGGGGCATTAATGAATTATTGTTTGTTTGTATCTGATAACTTTTCACATTCACTGTTATGATCATTGTTGTTTATATAGTATTCATCTTGTCTGGTAAAAGGTGAAAATCACTCTGTAAATTGGAAAACTTATTTGTGCTGTTACTATCACTGAAGCAAAATGATAATGAAAGTTAGATGCATATCATGAAATTATTAAGTTTAAGAAAAGTTTGTTTTATTTTAGATATTGCTGTGGTCAATATTTTTTTTATTCTCCTCAAGATATATGTCATAAATGATTTATAATATCCTTGTAAAATAGTTTGTAATGTATGTACCCAGGATGTTAAATACCTAGCAACAGAACCTATGGAAGGCTTCCTGGATACACTCAAACAACTCTGTCCATCTGTGAGCACAAAGCTATGTGCTGCGAGTGATCTCCCCTTACCTGACAACTCTGTTAGGGTAAGTATTAATTATCTTCCCTTGCCTAGCAGATCTTTCAGTACTTAGAACTTATTATCTCCCCTTGCCTAGAAATTCTGTCAGTATAAGTACTTATTATCTCCCCTTACTCAGAAGTTCTGTTAGTAAAGGTACTTATTATCTCCCCTTTCCCAGAAGTTCTGTCAGTATAAGTACTTATTATCTCCCCTTACCCAGCAGCACTGTCGGTATAAGTACTTATTATCTCCACTTACCCAGAAATTCTGTCAGTATAAGTACTTATTATCTCCCCTTACCCAGAAGTTCTATTAGTATAAGTACTTATTATCTCTCCTTTCCCAGAAGTTCTGTCAGTATAAGTACTTATTATCTCCCCTTACCCAGCAGCACTGTCGGTATAAGTACTTATTATCTCCCCTTACCCAGAAATTCTGTCAGTATAAGTTCTTATTATCTCCCCTTACCCAGAAGTTCTATTAGTATAACTACTTATTATCTCCCCTTACCCAGCAGCACTGTCAGTATAAGTACTTATTATCTCCACTTACCCAGCAGTACTGTCAGTATAAGTACTTATTATCTCCCCTTACCCAGCAGCACTGTCAGTATAAGTACTTATTATCTCCCCTTACCCAGAAATTCTGTCAGTATAAGTACTTATTATCTCCCCTTACCCAGAAGTTCTGTTAGTATAAGTACTTATTATCTCCCCTTACCCAGAAGTTCTGTCAGTATAAGTACTTATCTACCCTTACCCAGCTTATTCTGACGTTTTATCGACTATTGTTATCCTGTTATCAGAAGTTCTGTCAGTATAAGTACTTATCTACCCTTACCCAGCAGCACTGTCAGTATAAGTACTTATTATCTCCCCTTACCCAGCTGATTCTGATGTGTAAGGAGTACTATAAGATGTTTGGATCTATTCTGATATGAAGGGAGTACTATAACATGTTTGAATCTATTCTGATATGTAGGGAGTACTATAACATGTTTGTACCTATTCTGCTATGAAGGGAGTTCTATAAGATGTTTGGACCTATTCTGATGTGTAAGGAGTACTATAAGATGTTTGGACCTACTCTGATGTGTAGGGAATACTATAACATGTTTGGATCTATTCTGATATGTAGGGAGTACTATAAGATGTTTGTATCTATTCTGCTATGAAGGGAGTTCTATAAGATGTTTGGACCTATTCTGATGTGTAAGGAGTACTATAAGATATTGGACCTATTCTAATGTGTAGGGAGTACTATAAAATGTTCGGACCTATTCTGATGTAAGGGAGTACTATAATATGTTTGGACATATTCTGATGTGTAGGGAGTACTACAAGATGTTTGGAACTACTCTGATGTGTTTGGAACTACTCTGATGTGTAGGGAGTACTATAAAATGTTTGGACCTATTCTGATGTAAGGGGGTACTATCATATGTTTGGACCTATTCTGATATGTAGGGAGAACTATAAGGTGTTTGGATCTATTCTGATGTGTACGGGGTACTATAAGATGTTTGGACTTACTCTGATTTGTAGGGAGTACTATAAGGTGTTTGGATCTATTCTGATGTGTAAGGACTTAGGAGTACTAGAAGATGTTTGGACCGAATCTGATGTGTAAGGACTTAGGAGTACTATAAGATGTTTGGACCTACTCTGATGTGTAGGGAGTACTATAAGATGTTTGGATCTATTCTGATGTGTAGGTAGTACTATAAGATGTTTGGACCTATTCTGATGTGTAAGGAGTACTATAAGATATTGGACCTATTCTGATATGTAGGGAGTACTATAAAATGTTTGGACCTATTCTGATGTGAAAGGAGTACTATAAGATATTGGACCTATTCTGATATGTAGGGAGTACTATAAGATGTTTGGACCTATTCTGATGTGTAAGGAGTACTATAAGATATTGGACCTATTCTGATGTGTAGGGAGTACTATAAGATGTTTTGACCTTCTCTGATCCCTAGGGAGTACTATAAGATGTTTGTATCTATTCTGATGTGTAGGGAGTACTATAAGATGTTTTGACCTTCTCTGATCCCTAGGGAGTACTATAAGATGTTTGGACCTACTCTGATGTATAGGGAGTACTATAAGATGTTTGGATCTATTCTGATGTGTTGGGAGTACTATATGATGTTTTGACCTATTCTGATGTTTAGGGAGTACTATAAGATTTTTGAACCTATTCTGATGTGTTGTGGGTACTATATGATGTTTGGACCTATCCTGATGTGTAGGGAGTACTATAAGATGTTTTGACCTATTCTGATATGTAGGGAGTACTATAAGATGTTTTGACCTTCTCTGATCCCTAGGGAGTACTATAAGATGTTTGGATCTACTCTGATGTATAGGGAGTACTATAATATGTTTGGACCTACTCTGATGTGTAGGGAGTACTATAAGATGTTTGGACCTATTCTGATGTGTAGGGAGTACTATAAGATGTTTTGACCTATTCTGATATGTAGGGAGTACTATAAGATGTTTGGATCTTCTCTGATGTATAGGGAGTACTATAATATGTTTGGACCTTCTCTGATGTGGAGGGAGTACTATAAGATGTTTGGACCTATTCTGATGTGTAAGGAGTACTATATGATGTTTGGACCTATCCTGATGTGTAGGGAGTACTATAACATGTTTGGATCTATTCTGATATGTAGGGAGTACTATAAGATGTTTGGACCTATTCTGATGTGTAGGGAGTACTATATGATGTTTGGACCTATCCTGATGTGTAGGGAGTACTATAACATGTTTGGATCTATTCTGATGTGTAGGGAATACTATAAGATGTTTTGATCTATTCTGATGTGTAGGGAGTACTATAAGATGTTTTGACCTATTCTGATGTGTAGGGAGTACTATAAGATGTTTTGATCTATTCTGATGTGTTGGGGGTACTATAACATGTTTTGACCTGTTCTGATGTGTAGGGGGTACTATAAGATGTTTGGACCTATTCTGATCTGTAGGGAGTACTATAATATGTTTGGACCTACTCTGATCTGTAGGGAGTACTATAAGATATTTGGACCTATTCTGATATGTAGGGAGTACTATAAGATGTTTGGACCTACTCTGATGTGAAGGGACTACTATAAATTGTTTGGACCTATTCTGATGTGTAGGGAGTACTATAAGATGTTTCAGTTGTTTTGATCAACCTTGTTTAAAATATCACTGTCTGGCTTCGCTATACTATACTTGAAGGGTAGAAAGCTCTTTAAATCTGGAAAAAAAATTGATGCCCAGTGCTTTCATTGGTTTGCCAGTGAGGACAGTCTGACAAAGATGGTTTTGTTTATTTTAGACTGTGGTGGCTGCCCAGTGCTTTCATTGGTTTGCCAGTGAGGACAGTCTGAAAGAAATTTGCCGTGTGCTGGTGCCAGGAGGCAGGTTTGGTATGTCAAGACAGGATAAGTTTTATTTGACTGAAATCACTGCCCTAGAATAAATAGTTCATATGTCTGGGGTAAGAGCCATGAAAGAAATAATATATAATAATGTGACAGAGCCTTAGAATAAATTGTTTTTTGACTGGTGACACATCCTTAGAGTAATAGTTTATATGACTGGTGATACATCCATAGAGGAATAGATTATATGACTGTGTTAGAGCTCTATGAGAAATAGTTAATATGACTGGTGACACATCCATATAGGAATAGATTATATGACTGTGTTATAGCTCTGTGAGAAATAGTTTATATGACTGGTGAAACAACTATAGAGGAATAGATTATATGACTGTGTTAGAGCTCTGTGAGAAATAGTTTATATGACTGGTGATACATCCATAGAGGAATAGATTATATGACTGGTGACACATCTATAGAGGAATAGATTATATGACTGGTGACACATCTGTAGAGGAATAGATTATATGACTGTGTTAGAGCTCTGTGAGAAATAGTTTATATGACTGGTGACACATCCATATAGGAATAGATTATATGACTGTGTTAGAGCTCTGAGAAATAGTTAATATGACTGGTGATACATCCATAGAGGAATAGATTATATGACTGGTGACACATCTATAGAGAAATAGTTAATATGACTGGTGATACATCCATAGAGGAATAGATTATATGAATATGTTAGAGCTCTGTGAGAAATAGTTTATATGACTGGCGACACATCTATAGAGGAATAGCTAATATGAATATGTTAGAGCTCTGTGAAAAATAGTTTTTATGGCTGGTGACACATCTATAGAGGAATAGATTATCTGACTATGTTAGAGCTCTGTGACAAATAGCTTATATGACTGGTGAAACAACTATAGAGGAATAGATTATCTGACTATGTTAGAGCTCTGTGAGAAATAGTTTATATGACTGGCGACACATCTATAGAGGAATAGATTATCTGACTATGTTAGAGCTCTGTGAGAAATAGCTTATATGACTGGTGAAACAACTATAGAGGAATAGCTTATCTGACTATGTTAGAGCTCTGTGAGAAATAGTTTATATGACTGGTGACACATCTATAGAGGAATAGATTATATGACTGTGATAAGAAAGTTGATATGACTGTGTCAGAGCTGTGTGAGAATTAGTTTATATGACTGGTGATACATTAAATCGAGAAAAGTTTATACAGGTATGACTGGGGTAAGAACTCTGTGGGAAACAGTTTAAATGACTGGTGACACATCCATATAGGGAAAATATTATATGACTATGTCAGAGCTGTGTGAGAAATAATTTATACAACTGGTGACGCATCCAGAGGGGGGAAAAGTTTATGAGACTCAGATAGAGTTTAATCACAGAGTTACTGGAATTAGGAGTAATAGTTAATGTGACTGAGCTACTGGAATTAGGAGTAAGAGTTAATGTGACTGAGCTACTGGAATTAGGAGTAAGAGTTAATGTGACTGAGCTACTGGAATTAGGAGTAAGAGTTAATGTGACTGAGCTACTGGAATTAGGAGTAAGAGTTAATGTGACTGAGCTACTGGAATTAAGAGTAAGAGTTTATGTGACTGAGCTACTGGAATTAGGAGTAAGAATTTATGTGACTGAGCTGCTGGAATTAAGAGTAATAGTTAATGTGACTGAGCTACTGGAATTAGGAATAAGAGTTAATGTGACTGAGCTACTGGAATTAGGAGTAAGAGTTAATGTGACTGAGCTACTGGAATTAGGAGTAAGAATTTATGTGACTGAGCTGCTGGAATTAAGAGTAATAGTTAATGTGACTGAGCTACTTGAATTAGGAATAAGAGTTAATGTGACTGAGCTACTGGAATTAAGAGTAAGAGTTTATGTGACCGAGCTACTGGAATTTAGAGTAAGAGTTTATGTGACTGAGCTACTGGAATTAGGAGTAAGAATTTATGTGACTGAGCTACTGGAATGAGGAGTAAGAGTTTATGTGACTGAGCTACTGGAATGAGGAGTAAGAGTTTTTGTGACTGAGCTACTGGAGTTAGGAGTAAGAATTTATGTGACTGAGCTACTGGAATGAGGAGTAAGAGTTTTTGTGACTGAGCTACTGGAATTAGGAGTAAGAATTTATGTGACTGAGCTGCTGGAATTAAGAGTAAGAGTTTATGTGACTGAGCTTCTGGAATTAGGAGTAATAGTTAATGTGACTGAGCTACTGGAATTAGGAGAGAGGTTAAGAATATAGAAATACACAAGTGACAAATTAGACAAATGTTCATAATTCAAAGAATATGTAAATTAATAGTAGTGACCCTTGTAGATGTTGTTTCTACAATACCAGTGTATTGAGGTAGTGACCCTTGTACATGTTGTTTCTACAATACCAGCATATTGAGGTAGTGACCCTTGTAGATGTTGTTTCTACAATACCAGCGTATTGAGGTAGTGACCCTTGTAGATGTTGTTTCTACAATACCAGTGTATTGAGGTAGTGACCCTTGTAGATGTTGTTTCTACAATACCAG